TTGGGACCATATGTCTTCACCTTGTTCCAAGTCATAAAGAGAAAACATTGTTTTTCATTATTGTTTACGATGTTAACTGTAGGACTTTGGTTGACACCCTTTATCAAATTGAGAAAGTTTCTTCCTGTTCTTACTTTTATGAGGATTTTTATCATGAGTGGACATGGAATTGTCAAATGATTTTCTGTATCCATTGAGACGATCATATGGTTTTTCTTTTTTAGTTTATTTAATGGTGAGTTATAGTGATGATTTTTGAAGATTAAACTGACTTTGATTTGTGAGCTAAACTTCACTTGGTTATAGTGTATTATCCTTCTTATTTATTGTTGGATTTGAATTGCTAAAAATTTTTGTTAGGTATTTTTGCTTCTATATTCATGAGGTATACTGTTCCATATTTTTCCTCCTAATGCCTTGGCTAGTTTTCTTATGTGGTAATGCTGGTCTCGTGTTCCCTTTTCTTGTGTTTTCTAAAAGAGTTTGTCTAGAATTGGTATCATTTTTTTCTTACATATTTTGCTGAATTTACCAGTAAGTCATCAAACACCTAGGTGTTTTTTTTGTTTTTTGTTTCTTCTGTGGAAGGTTTTAAAATATAAATTGAATTGTTTTTAATAGATATAAAGCTACTCCTGTTATTCATTTCTTTTTGAGTGAACTTTGGTAGATTGCGTCTTCTAAGGAATGTTTTTTTCATTTTACCCAAGTTGTGAAGTTGACTGACATATCATTATTAGTATTCCTTTATTCTTTTAATGTCTGTAATATCTATATGTCACCTCTGTTATGTTTGATATTAGTTTGTGTCTGTTTTATGGTTAATCTAAATAGAGGTTTATCCATTTCATTGATCTATTCTAATTAACTTTTGATTTCATTGATTTTTTTAAATTTTGCTTTATATCTTTTGTTTTGTTTTTTAAACTTTCTTGTATTATGTTATGTCACCATAAAATACATAATTAGTTTTTGATGTAGTGTTCCAAGATTCATTGTTTATGTATAAGATCCAGTGCTCCATGCAATACGTGCCCTTCTTAATACCTGTCACTGGGCTCACCCACCCTCCTTACCCCCCTCCCCTCTAAACCTCTCAAAGTCCACAATCTCTTATGGTTCATCTCTCCTTCCGATTTAACCCCCTTCACTTTTCCTTTCCTTCTCCTAATATTTTGCTTTATATCTTAATGATTTCTGTTCTTTATTATTTTAATTATTATTAATTTGGACTTAATTTGCTCTTCTCAAATTTAAGGTAGAAACTTGGGTCATTGATTTTAAACCTTCATACTTTTATAATATACATGTTTAATGCTATAAAATTGCCTCTAATCACTGCTTGCGCTATCTCCTACAAATTTAGATTATTATGTTAATGTTGATTCAGTTTAAAATATTTTCAGTCTTCTGTTCTGCTCCTAATTTTCCTCCTGGGCAACTGGTGAATGTCCATGGGAAAGAGCTTTAGAGTGGGTTTGAATTCTTCTTTTCTATCTGGGGCTCCTAGGGATTCTAAACCAGCATGGTAACTCCTACTTCACCTCTAAAAATTTGTTAAAAATTTAACTGATTTCTTATTACCTCTTTGTATGATGACTACTTCTTTCTCCATGTTGTGTCAAAGGTTAAACAGATCATGTATCCATCTCTCCTTAAAGGGTCTTGTCATGAAATTCAGTTTTCTTTGTTGCCGGGTGATTTCAGTTCCCTGAGGGGCTCAAGAAAAGTTATGAATTTATAGATTGTTTGACTTTGTCCTTATTGTTGGAATAGGAGCCATGTCCTCTTTGGAAGCAAAATATTTGCTAATCATACTTTAGAAACAGCTTGTTTTTCTGCCCAGAACCCCAGCTGGAAAGTCAATTTGGGAGGCTGAAATTTATTTAGTTACTTCTAAAATGTCATAACTATTTCATCAAACACACTTCCTTCAGGTCATACTCTGAAATATTTCTACAAGAACACTGGAGTTAAGAGTCCATTTCATGAGATTCTTTTCCTTGTGATATCATTTCAGACATAACTTTGTGGTACACTGTTGAATGGACCCTTGCGTGGGCAGGCAAGGAAACAGAGTATTGTTACGGGCTTTCTCATATAAACAGTTATGCAAGGTCAGGGTTGGGAAGGCCATCCAATGGCATGTGGTCAGTATGGCTACCAGATGACTCACATATCATGAACAAGTCATCTGCTAATGATCTTGGAACATTTCCAATGTTGGCATCTTCATTATTTCTTAAGGCAGCCTATTTTATCTTTTCTTAGTTTTGACAGTTATATCGTTCTTTGTTTTGAACTGGCACTTTCCCTTCTCTAGTCCATTCTTAGCTACCTGCCTCTGACTCTTTAGTTCAGTGGGTTATAATGTGAGATGGTAATGTGAGTGGGTTATAATGTTTCATGGTAATCACTTTGGGTCCTCCTCACTTGATTCTGTTCTGCTCTTGCTCCAGATACAATCTCTACCTAGCCATGAACTCTGGCCAAAGTGGCTGGAGTTGAGCCTATTTTTGGTTTTCTGAAAAAAACAAAAAAACCTTTTTTGTATTATTTTATATTATTGTTCAGACTTCCCAGATTTTAAGTCTTAGCATTTCCTAGTGGTTTGTTATTTAGATTTGTGTTCTGGTTGTCTGTGCTCAGTGTTGTCTTGGTAAAGAAACTTTGCACTAGTTCCAGGCCCTTTGAAGCCAAGCTCCATAATCATTTGTCAGTGGTCCCCAAGAGCAGGGAGGATTTGGGCAACTGTGTCCTTGTCCCTCTTCTAAACACGTTAATTCACTCTTCTACTTAAAGTCCATTCAGATGCTTGAAGAAAGCTTTATATGCATTCTAGGTCATCTCTTTTTCAGGCTACACCCTAATATTTTCTTATATGGTTCTAATGGGAGGTTTAACAAAGAGAATAAATTGATCCAACTGTAGGTAGGTACCCAAATTATTGTATTTCCAAATTGATTTTCCTACTCTGCTTTCTAAATTCCTGCTGAAGATTCTAATTATTCTAATTATTACAAAACCAACACATTTAAACCCTAATATCTTCACATTAAAAGTATTTAAAAATATTTTTTGAAAAAAAATATAAAAAATAGTTTAAACTATTAAATTTAGTTAATTTTAAACTTAAATTTAAACTGAACTTAAATTTAAAACTAATTTATTAAACTAATAAATTTAATATTAAAACTATATTAAATAATTCTGCAAAGTTAGTTTAAAAAAAAAGAGCAGTCTTTTATTTTCCCCTTTTCCCCCTCCCCAGTAGAATCTCTTACCATCACATTAAGCTAATTATTTTGGTACTTATTCATTGTTTCTAAATAAAATGCTTATACATTCACCGTTTTTTTTTTTTTTTTTTTTTGATGTTCAGTGTTTCTGTGATCATGACTGTGCACCTGCTATTCTGGGACGAGCCATGTAGTGTACTGTGATTTATCTCCCTCGCCTGGACAGATCTTTGTTTCCCTCTCGTTTGCCATCTTGTTTGATTATTTTTCTATGGATGTACCACTCATTCAATCCTTGTTGATTATTTAATTCTCCTTTGAAGATGTTCAGATCTACCAGGCATCCAGTTCATTTCGTCTTGTTGAAAAAAATCACTCACAGAGCCTTCTGAGCCTCGCCAGCGTGCCGGCTGCCCTTGCCACCTCGAGTGCCTGAGAGCTCCCTTCTGCAGCACTTGGGGATTTTCCTTTCTTACCTTTTTGTGACAGATCTCTTGTATGCTGGTCTCCTTTTCCTTAGTTTTGCCCCTTAGTTGGATCCTACCCTCGTACAGCTTCCCGAGAAGGGATATGCGAGGAAGTCTGAAACGTCTTCATTCTACTCTATTTAAGCAATAGTTTGGCTGAGTGTAAACTGTCCATTTTCCTTGGAATTGGGAGGCATTTTGCGTCGCTTTCTAAAAGACTTTTAGTTTTGAAATGATTTTACATTGACAGAAGAGTTACAAAGATCGTACAGAGTTCCTCTATAGCCGGCACCTGGCCCCCCTATTGTTGACATTGTACATCACCATGGTACATTTGTCAACACTTATGAAATTAATGCTGGCTCACAGCTCTTAACTGACCTGCAGACTTTAGTCATATTTCACCAGTTTTTCCACTAACATCCTTTGTTATCCTTTGTTCCAGGATCAAATCCAAGATACAAAATTGAAATTAGCTCTCATGTCTCCCTAGTCTCTTCCAAACAGTGATCAGCCGTTCGGTTTCCTTATTTTTACAAACTTTGATACTTTGGAAGAGCACTGGTCAATATTTGTGTGGACTGTCCCTCCATGGATTTGTCTGATGTCTTCTCATGTTAAAACGTAGGTTATGGATTTGGGGGAATATTACCGCAAGGGTGAAAGGGCCTTTCTCTTCACACTGTATCAGAGGACACATCATATCAATGTGAACTATTACTGGTGATGTTAACTTTGATCATTTGGTTGAGGTGAAATCTGCTAGGTTTTCTCTGTGAGTTTACTCGTTTAACCTTTCCATTAAGCGAGTCACTAAGTCCCGGCCATGTTCAAAGGGCAAGGAAGTTATCTCCACCTTCTTGAGGAATATCAAATCTTTTGTGGATTTATGTCAAATCCACCACAAAAATGAATAAATATGTGGGGGGAAGTATTTTGAGGCTATGCAAGTATTCTTTTCCTCCTTAAAGTTTTACTCACTAATGTTCACATTCATCAGTTAGTCTTACCGTTGCCTTTTAGCTTCAATGTTACTGTCAAGAGATGTAAACCATCCTAACTGCTGATCCTCAGAATTAGACGATTCCTCTCCGGGAGCTCGTAGAATCTCTTCCTTCTTTCCTGTGTTCTGGAATTTCATAAAGTTACTTGGCAGGGGACTGTGTTACTATGGAGTGAAGATATTTGCTGTAAAAGGAAAAGTATATGTTGGGTTCTGTTCCTCTTGAGGCAGGAACCCAAGACTTTGTGCTTTCTTAAATTTTTCATTCTTTTTTCCTTTCTCTCAACACAGGGTTTACCACCCAAAAGATGGCAGGCCGATGTGATGCACCTGAGTTGCCCGGAGCCTGCGGTGTTTGCTTTCTCACCTCTGGCTCCTCGCTGGAGCTCTTTGCGGGAGATGTGGATACCAAGCTTTGAGCAATCCAAGAAGGAAGCCCAGGCACTAAGGTGGCTGGTTGATAGGAATAAAAATTTTTCAGCTCAAGAGTTTTGGGCCCTGGTTTTCAAGGACTAATTTCTAGAAGGATCAGAATGATACAGACTAGTGCTCTCCTGAGGTTCATTTTCTAGGTTGCCTTAATACATGAGTATCATAGCTACTTGGTTGACTATCCTTTAGGATAAGGAGTACTTGCTGCAGTACTCATAATGAGCCCTCTCAGATAATGGATGTGAATTACCCTTAGGGGTCACCTCTGTATTTTTTATACTAAAAAAATAAATATTTCTTATGGTCACCTTCCACTGACATGTCTGGACCGATGTACCTGCTGCCTTTTGTGGACATTCAGCTAATGTGGAGTGAATGTTTCCCTCCCTGCATGGGAGGCAGAGGGTGGAGCTGTGGATTCTTGATACTCACCTCACTGTCTGCAGTTTATTAGTGTCTGGCAAGCCCAGGGTCCTGATGCTGAAGCATGAACATGAAATGCATTAGAACTTGGCAATGAGAGATTCCATCTGTTGGTTTCCAGGGATGTAAGTGAGTAATAAAAGCTGTGTGCATTTTATCCGCTTTTTCTCTTCAAGTCAGAAGAACGTATGCCTGTCTGCCTTCTCCTTACTCTTACTACCTCTTTCTTTCCGTCTTGCCCTGCCCCCGCCCCCACTCCCCTCCGCCCCTGAAGTGGAATGTCTTATGAAGATGTGCCTCCTCCTTGTTTGTTTTGAACAGTGAGATGTTCTCAATGGTCCCTTCTCCTGCAGAGCAGAATAATGATCTTGAGATCGGACACCCTGTATCCTCTGATCAATGTGAGAAGGGAAGTGGGTGGCCCCCGGGAACTCCGGTTGTGTTGAAGGTGATTTGTCTTCTCTTAGGCTGATGTACAGCCTGTAGTAATGGGCAGCCCGCTCTGGTAGGTGAGCCTTCCTGTCATTTCTGATCCTGGCACAGAGAAGTTGTGGCTGTCCTGTCAGGAGCACCTATTGGAACTCCATGATAGACAAAGAGACAGCGCTGGCTAGTGTTTTCTCCCCATGTGGAGGTGGGGAGGCTGTTAGAGGATCCTAAAGCCTGTTGCCACCAGATGTGTCCTGGCTTTAGTGCTCTTTACTGTGGAAAGATATCAGCTCCTGAGGACAGGAAGGGTCTCTGATTCTTATGTCCCTGACATGGCATGTGGGTGAAACTCAAGATGGCTCCCGTGGTGCCAGCTCTCCCTTGACCCCAGGGCAGTGCCTTTATGAGCCAGCCGTGCCCAGTCTCTTCCATGAGGAGCTCTCTCCCTGGCTGTGTGCAGGGGTAAGGAGGAAACTGGGTTCATTCATTCAGGAGCAAGAAAGTTCACATTGCTGGATGGGATGCGGTTCTGTGACTGGGTTTTTCTCAATCCCAGCACTGCCATTAACTGAACATGATTCAGTACAACTCTCTTAACTTCCCTGGCCCTTCGTTTTTGTACCTAAAAAGAAGCGATTGGGCTGGTCATTGAAGCTCTTCTCTGTGTAATGTTCTTTGTTTATCAAAATTAAGAAGTTTCATTTTGTAGATGTTTTTACTCAGGCAGTAGTAAATCATTAAGTGCCACTTCATGGTTTTCAAGAAGAAAGCTCTTTGAAGGAAGAAGTACACTTCTTGGGTAGTATTAGGGGTAGAAAGTAGGTGATCTCTGCCATTTTTTTTCTTTTCTTTTTTTTTTTTAATTTTATTTATTTCTTTGACAGAGACAGATCACAAGTAGGCAGAGAGGCAGGCAGAGAGAGGAAGAAGCAGGCTCCCCACTGAGCAGAGAGCCCGATGTGGGACTCAATCCCAGGACCCTGAGATCATGACCTGAGCCAAAGGCAGAGGCTTTAAACCACTGAGCCACCCAGGCACCCTGCCATTTTTTTTCTAATAATGTCCAAAGGGAAGGCATAGGTAAGGGGGATTGTGTGTTACACACCAGATTTTAAATTGTATATTAAATGAGTTTTGTTGTTGTACCCTTAATAAAAAGCCCAGGATGTGATTTGTGCATCTGGTGGGGTATTATCCAGTAGATCCAGTCCTCCATAAAAGCCTTAAACAAATCCCCAGTGCTCATATGCTTCTCGTATGTTTTAAGCCTCAACATTGCATGTAGTTTTGTTCTACTCGGTTTTTCATTAAGACTCTGTAGACAAAATTCTGCCTAGACTTTTCTGAAGTAGCCCTGAACAAATTGAGTGAAATGAAATAATTGGTTGTTTAATGGGGCATCAACTTCTTGTGGGGGAAGAAGATGGAGGAGAGGGAATTCCATGGGATTGAAAATGAGGTATGTTTCAGAGAAAATAAATTAAAAGTTCTTTGGGACTCTTGGAATACACATAGATTTGAGACTTTATTCACACACGTCTTCTGTAATAGGATTTTTATTAATAAGATGGTACCCTTGTCTGTGATAATTGCTGTCATGGAGGGAGAGGCGTGGCCCCAAGGTAGAAGGATTCTTATCTGTAAATAGGGAGCTGTGTGTTTTGAGTTCCGTGTAGGTCCCCTCAGTGACATTGTGTCTGTTGAGCCCATCAGACCACACCTTTCTCTTTACCTCACTCTCCCCACTTGTGAAATATGATTAAGAGAGAGTCCTCTCTCACTGGGATGCCGTGAGGAATGGCTCATGGCTGTGGAAGATTTGTTGTAACATTCTGTTTAGGGCATCAGCACATTTTGCTTGGGTTGCTTTTGGAGACCGAGTCTCTAAGTGATATGACAAGGTGGATAGAAACCTTTTCAGAAATGTTGAAGAAAGGGCTCACTTATGCTAGTCAATAGTCTTCACATCTTCACCTGAAAATGAGATCATTTTGATCCTGTAGCAGTGACAAAATTTCAGAACCTGATCGTGGACTGGCTTTGTTGCTGTTAAGAGCTAGAGTCCAGTAACTAGAGTATCCATTGAGATTCTTGTCATTATTAGTAACAAATTGAATGCAGTGTTGTAGGCGCTACTGGGAAGTAGAAGACATAAGCGAAAATGAACGTCCTTGCTTTGAGTCACACATTGTAGATTACACATAGGAGAACAAGCCTAATATCTATAGAACACTGTATGAATCCCAGCACGGCACAGACCTGAAATTGAAATGCCCAGTGTTATACTGTGCATTAAAAAAAAAAACTGTTAGTGTAGCTCATAATTCCTGCTAAGGATGACAAGGCATTAGGGGGACTCCAAAGGAGAGTTAGTTTTCAGTGAATGATATTATCTGAAGCATCATGGGCACAACTCTACATAAATAACATATGTCTTTCTTGGAATCTTCAAAGTATAAAATGTAAAAGTTCACAGGCCAAGAATAATGGTGGTTAGTTTATGTTTCAAATAATTTTGCAATCCTGAATGTTCTATAAAGCACTTTCTTACCCTTCTTTAGGGAGTGTCTTTGTTTTCATTTTTATTGTTGCCATTATTGATAGTTGTCTTTACTGTGATAATTGTCTTTACTTTTTAAAAAAGATTTTATTTATTTATTTGACAGAGAGAGAGGGAACACAAGTAGGGGGAGTGGGAGAGAGAGAAGCAGCCCCCCCACCCCCCCACCCCCTGCCGAGCAGGGAGCCCGATGTAGGGCTTGATCCCAGGACTCTGGGATCATGACTGGAGCTGAAGGCAGACACTCAACTACTGAGCCACCCAGGTGCCCCTTTACTGCATAATTCTAATGTCACCTTTATCTTTTATTTTCTTCTGATTACAGAAATAAAAATGCTTACAAAACTTGGAAAATTGAACTATGAACTATGACTTCAGAATAAGAAGAGCAGGTTTTAGTCCCTACTCTCCAGTATACCGTCTAAAGATGATATCTTGGGGGCACCTGGTTGGCTCGGTCAGTTAAGTGTGAGACTCTTAATTTCAGCTCAGCTCATGATCTCATGGTCATGGTCATGGGATCGAGTCCTGTGTTGGGCTCTGCACTCAAGGTGGAGTCTACTGGAGATTCTTCCTCTCCCCCTCTCTCTGCCCCTCCCTCTCATGCTCTCTGTCTCTCTCAAATAAATAACTAAATCTTTAAACAAAAAGAAAGGTGGTACCTTGGCCAAGTTATTTGGCCCTTCTAAGTAAGCTTCCGTTTGTTCACCAGGAAAAGCTCGCTATATATCTAACCACACTGTGAGGTTGTGAAGTGTAAATAAGTCAGTATTCATACTTCACTCTATAAATGCTAGCTGTTGCTGTTCCAGCTCTCCGTGGTCATCACCCTTAGTTTGTGGTGACCTTGACTGAGATTTGCACACAATGAAAGAATGGCTAATGATAGTACCAGTGATGGTGTTCCTTTTAGTTCTCCACTTAGTTATCTGATAGCTATTTTGTTATGAGGTAGGCATTGGGCTGTACATCTTAGCCAGTGTGAGTCAGACATGGGGGAGAGTATGTGGGGTTCTGGGTAAGGCTCTGTGATACTAGGATGTCATGAAAGCCAGGGACTGAGGATAATGCTCAGATTGTACTATCCCTCCCCTCCGTGGGATTTTTGGTGGAGTTTTACGCAAAGCTCCTAACAGTGTAGTGGGAATCACACAACCTTTTTATAGTACCTGTGCAAACCCAATTAAACACAGTGCAGTGATCTCTGGCAAAAGCCTTTCAATTTTGCAGTTTTCAGTCTTGGGAGAAGCCTGTTCAGTCTACTCAGACTAGGAGAGAGAGGAGGGGGAGGTGACCAGGTCTAGGGGTCCTGCCCCTTATTAAGTAATAAGTTTACTTACTAACTGAAAATCAAAAAAGAAGAAAAGAACAGAAGCCTGCTTAGGACTTCTCCTGGGAGACAAGCCCCGTTTTGCTCTTCATATTTATTGATGCAAGAACAACGCTTAGGAGCCTACTTTTAAGTCACATAACCTCTCTGGTTGATCAGAATCGGGGCCTAACCCATTAAATTAGTGACCCTGGTGGTGGGAATCATTCAGTAGAAGGGCACGAGGCAGAGGTGTGGGGAGGAAAAGGAGTGACCCTCCATGATTTTTATCTTCTCAACTCATTGGGCTTAACAGCCAAGCTGTGGCTGTGTCTCTAAGGGGGTGTGACCAGTCATGATCCACAGAAACCACCTTTTACCTTCCTGAGGCTTCTTCCCAAATACCTATCCTTGCTCCTTTGGGTCCCCCTGGAACCACTTCCACGAGCGGTTGAGCTATCTGGAACTTCTGAAATGAATCAGAGTTGCACACTGATTAATGTTTCCAAGGGTGTTCTGAACATTAGGTCAGACTTTTATGCCCTATTTCATTTCTCATGCAAACTAGGGCCACATCATCCAACCTAGCTTACCAGAGGAGGTGATAATGTCAGCCCAAATAGGCCATTATGGATATTTGGAATTTTGCTGTCACAAACTCCTTAATTAAAAAACAAAAACCAATTGGCAACTTAAAAAACTTAAAGACTATTAGGTAGGGGGTGATATTAAGGGTTTTGAAGCAAGGGCAGTATCTTTTCGCAGGAGACTTTGAAATCAGCCTAACAAAACTCGCTTCTTATAGAGTAAACATGGCTATGAGCACTCATCTAGTGAGTCACACAGGGAAAAAAAAAATATGCCAGTTTTATTTTAAAATGTCCTTGATGAAACAATAAAAATGATTTATTTTATTAAACCTTGATCTTTGAGTCCATGTCTTTTTAATACTCTGTGAGAC